TAAAAATTAAAAAAATCGAATCGACAAAGAGAATAGTAATGTTATTATTAATTTTAGGGTAAATTATAATAAGAAAATTAATTTACCAGTCGATATACTGAGGGATTTCTATAAAAAGACCATTTCTTCATTATATTGGCTGTATCCTTAGACTTGATAACGTCTAGACAAATTTGAAACAGGCTTTCCAAGTCGCATCAAGTGGGTCCGATGTTAAATTGTCGAATTTGAGGGCTTGAAGGCAGGTCTCAACATCTTCTTCCGGTTCTAAAAGACGTATATCAAAATAATTAAAGTGCCAAATATAAAAAAACATTCGAATTTACCATAATCAGTTCCATGCCTCGACTTGTTACTTTGTTTTTTTTCTTTTTGTTTTTTATCTTCTGAAACATATTTGGAAACCGCTGTTTTAATGAATACCCACACCAGAGATCTCACACAGCGGAATTTGATTTGACAACACAACAAATTAACTACAATACGATAGGACTTTTATTTAAAATATTTAAAATATTGAAGAGAACACTAATGAAACTAAGCCTCACTGAATAACTCAACCACACAGACGTTATTAAAGTGCCAAAGCAACAGATCAACATGACGGACATTTAAGCCCTAATATTTTATTCATGATATTAATAACCGCGTACATTAATATAATGTAGTGTGTTCGTTGTATTAATAACATTGTTCATTATCACAATGTACAACCCATTAATCAATGGTTTAGTACATTAATATAATGAATATGTGTTTATTAAAGTTTCAGCACTAAAATAAAGAATGCGTTCATTGGGACAATGAATGCGTTCATTATATTAATGAAAATCTTACATTAATTGAATAACCAGATTTTCATTATATTGATGAAATTAGATTCATAGTATTAATAAATCGGACATCGATCTATGATTAATAAATCATTATATTAATGAAAAAAATCATTTTGTCCCAATGAAACAACAATTAATAATCAATGTTCATTAATATTATGAACAATATTTTTTTCAGTGTGCATAGGTTGCATGACTGGTAGTACACATTGGTCGAATGTTTTCTTATTTCGATAAAGTGGCATTCTAGATTTGAATATGATTGAGCAACTAATATGACTGTACTGTATTCAATAAATAATTTCAATCACTTGACAATTTTTTTTCCTGAATTAGCAAAGTTCTCTTTAAAGAAATTCCAGAAATGCAGAGCATTAAAAGAGCACTAAAGGGTTTTAAAATTAAATTGCCATGTGGAAATTCCTTTTCACATTGCAGTTAAATACAATCTAAAACCTGGATAAAACAGTTGAGTAAAAGCAATTTCGATGCCTCGTACACAAAAGCTGGATACCAAGTAATTGCGATGTTATATAGATATCAAGTACATATTTCGTTCGATTTTCTTATCTAATATATGTATAGTAAAATTCTTTTAAAAGTTCTTCAATATGGCCGACCTAGTTACGAAAATTGGTAATTTTTTTTTAATGAAAAATAAGTTGGCGTTAGCGAATTCAGAAATTGATTTACTCTTTGGTTAACAATAACATTTTTGGGGATTGTCAAGTTGACGTTAAAGTTAGGTTATTAGGTGGTTGTCATAAATCATAAATAAAAACATATATTATTATTGAAATTATTTAATAAGAATAAAGGTATTTTACCGCAGATCCGAAGAGATTTTACTTAAAGGTATTTTATAAACTTTCTCAGTTAGAATATTAACTCCCCTGTTTCTTATATTTCAGTTAAAGGGACGTAAGAACTATAGGATGTGAATTTTTGTTTTCACGTTTGACGATATCTGAGAGTTCCTAGAATTATCAAGATTATTGAATAATTATAGTTGTTTAATAAGTAAAATTAATAGAAGACTTGGAAATAGGATGATGCGTTTCATGTTATAGTTGATAGATCACCCCATTTCTCTTAATTTGTTTTTAGTTCAGTACAGTTAATCACAAATTGAATTGATGTGTGCAAAAACAGCTATATATTTCAAACATCTTATTTAAATAGTTTTTTTTTATATACTGTTAAACTGTATCAACTATAAAGTCTTTAGCAAAAAGTTATAAAGTAATAAATTTTTTAGATTAAATCATCCTTAATGGATGCCAACAAATTTATCTACAAACTAATACCATAATCATAAAAATCGAATTACAAATTAAAAATTTATGAAAAATCAATCTTAGTCAAAATTTTAGTGTGGCGGAATTTTGTGCCGAAGAGTTTATATTAGATTTTAACAACTTTTATATGGCATTATTACCTATTTAAAAAAATAAAATCGATGATTCTAAGCGAATAAATCCACTGTTAAAATTGTTGATTGTGCGTTAATCAAAGCGTGAATATCGGGTCGATCAATCAAATCGAGGCGCCTTTCGCAAAGGTCGTGGCCGTATTGCGGTTTCTGTTTTGGCCTAATGGAGACAGAAAATTAACGACGTCCTATTCGACATTCCATTTTTAGAAATGTCGAGGACCAATAACCTAAAATAAGGATCCTATTTTTAAGTCGAAACCCTCGAGAATAATTTTTTCATTTGGAGAAATACAAATCTTACTGAATACAATCCTAAAATTGTATCAAAAGATATTGGACGATGGCTTAAGAACAAAAGCGTTGTGTGAAATACGTCTTCTATTTTTGTTATTACTCTTGAAAACGTCAGTTACTGAAATATGTAGTCGTTTCATGAAATTGACTAGGCATTTCAGGAAATAAGAAATTTCTTTGTTTGACGCCGACAATATATTTTTTTACTTTTTATTTAATAGGGAACCTTAATTTTTATTAAACTTACTGAAATCTGCTTATACATTTTGTGTACGCCAATTAACAATATACAAACAACTAGAAATTAAATCTAAAAAATATATTGAAGATATTAATTTAATTGATGAGATACGAAAAAATTTCGCAAAGCATCAGTTACTCTCTTATTTTAAATGGAACACCCAGTATATTATTCCGATATTCAATGGAGAATTAATGTCTCTTCAAAATACTATTAAGGTTGCCTACCCTTCAAACAAAGATTTTCCTAGATATTTTCATTTACATGATTTGATTTGAGTAGATCTTTATTATTTGATAAAATCTAGGTGGCTGTAATATGGTCTGACGTTACTTCAACATAATTGTCTAATTAGTCCAACTTTAACAACTAGTTATCATTTTGAGTCAGTTAAAACAAAAAAAAAATCTCAGAAATTTACCGAAAATGCAAACTTATCTTACATCAGAAAGAATTGATATGATTCTATTAGTTGGTGAATGCAGTGTAATTCACCAATAATATTCTTTCAATAGAATACTTAAATGCTCCTGATTTTATCTAGTCTGGGTTTTTCTATGGGGATATGTTAAAGACAGTGTTTACAAAAGTCGACCAACTAGTGTCGACAACATGAGAGAAATTATTGTAGCTGCTTTTCAAGGTAGAACTCTACATATGCCTTTTAAAAAGAAAAGAGCCTTTTGAAAAGAATCATTTTATGCAGTTAACAGGAAAGGAAGCATTTTGAGCATTTGATTTCATTTAGCTAATTTTTGTCGCCTAATTTTAGGTTTATATCTAGTTTTAATTCTGTAATAATTAAAATATATTTTAAACGTGTATCTTTTTATTACCCTTGAGTATTTTACTCTATAATCTTTAATTTTTGTTAAATTAACAAAAGGTATCACACAGCCACCTAGATTTTTTCAAATAATAAAGATTTACTGACGCAAAATCATTAAAATTAAAATATGTTGGAAAATCTTTGTCTGAGGGGTAGACAACCTTAATAAAATTTCGAAGATATATAAATTCCCCATTGAACACCGGAAAGATATACTGGGTGTTCCAATTAAAATAAAGGAGTAGCTTGCTTTTAAAAGTGACTAATGTTCCATATTAATTTTGTCTCACCCTGTATAACTTTTCGGGTTAAATTTCAATTTGGTTTAACATACAATGTTTACTGTAATTAAATATCAGGCTATACAAGGTCAACTAAAATTTAGGTGGCTGTTATCAAAATTTAAATTTTACTCATCATTTTCAGATAATGTGAAATATGTCAAAATTCTTAGATTTTAGGTATATGCATCTTTAATGAAACTCACCTTTATTTTTTTCCCAGAATCCCAAAATCAATTAATATATAGGGTGTTCCATTAGAAAAAACACAACTTTGATGTGTAACTTTTTTTGGTATACCCTGTATAATTCTATATAATTTTATAAAATGCTTTCATTTAACCTAAATATGCTGCCAAAATTTCATTTCGATATAGATTAATGATAAACTACCGATCTCCTTGGAACTTCCGCGGCGTATGAGAGGCACCACCCTGTATAAACAGTTATTATTTACATCAACAAAATTCACCTTCTTAACAGCATTTAAGGGATATAAAGGGTCATTACTACCGCTTTCCAGTTCAAAATATTCTAATAAAGTAAGCTATTAAGCTATTTTGTACACTTCGCACTAAAAGAGGTACTAAAACGAACAATGTTCGACTGCAAGGTCTCTTAGTAAACATTTTTAAACTTAAGAATCACAACACAATTCATTTAAACCAAAAACTTGTAATACAAAACTAAAGTGTCAAAACAAATGCCAATGTAAGGAAAGAAATAAATAAATGTGACAACTTGACATGTTTTATAGCACCTGAGTTACCACCTGAATCCCCAGCGGGAAATTTAAATTCCAGTTAGTCAGCACGGCGTCGAATATGTTCCATGATTGGCAACAATGAATTTAAAAATCGCGCCCTCGATTACGTAACTAAAAGTTTAATTGGTATCGAATAATAATATATATAGAAAATATATATAAGGATAAAGGAAAATTTATAGAAAATTGTTTTAACGAAAAAAGTTTTTTAATATTTAGCAACATTAAATAATTGCTCTCTGCATATACAATTAAATTATTAATTATAACATAAATGACGCATGTTATACATTACTCTAGATTAAAAATATACGAGGATGGTCTGAAAAGTTTCCGACCTCAACGTGAAGATGGCAGCACTCGTAGATAAAAGTTAGTGAATTTTAATTGTTCATCTGTTGACAGTTATTCACCAAAATTGCAGCCATTTTGGACGCGCAGTTGTTATGTAACAGCCGTTTGAGTGAGTTGAGTGTTTTTGCGAAAATGGACAAAATCGAGTATCGAGCTGTCATTAAATATCTGGTTTTGAAAGGCAATACGTCTACACAAATTAAGCATGAGTTGGATTCTGTGTATGGGGTCTCTGCACCATCATTTACCACAGTGAAATTTTGGGCAGCTGAATTTAAACGTGGCCGTAAGAGCTTGGGAGACGATGAACGTTCGGGACGTCCAAAAACTGCAACTACCGACGATAATATCGTCAAAGTTCACCAAATGGTGCTAGACGACCGCCGAATTAAAGTGAGAGAGATAGCAGAGATTATGAACATATCAAAAGAACGTGTTTGTCACATATTAAATCAAGATTTAGGCATGAGAAAGCTGTCCGCGCGTTGGGTGCCGCGTTTGCTCACGTTAGACCAAAAGCGTGTTCGAATGAACATTTCCAACGTTATGTTGGCGCAGTTTAGGCACAATAAATGCGAATTTTGGCGTCGATTAATTACTGTAGATGAAACTTGGATACACCACTACACACCAGAAACAAAAATACAGTCCAAACAGTGTACGGCAAAGGGAGAACCGGCTCCAAAAAAAGCAAAAACTGTTATTTCGGCTGGGAAAGTGATAGCAACTGTTTTTTGGGATAGTCATGGAGTTATTTTAATTGATTATCTTCAAAAAGGAAAAACTATCACAGGAGCATAATACGCATCATTACTTGACAAGCTAAAAGCAGAACTTGCGGAAAAACAGCCACATTTACAGAAGAAGAAAATCCTGTTTCATCAAGATAACGCACCGTCTCACACCTCAGCGGTTTCCATGGCGAAAATCCATGAATTACGGTTTGCACTGCTTGACCATCCGCCTTACTCACCAGATTTAGCCCCTGGCGACTTTTTTTGTTCCCTCATTTAAAAATTGCGCTCGGAGGACAGATATTTTCGTCAAATGAAGAGGCAATCACCTTCGTGAACCACTATTTTGCAGAGAAAAACGCCGAGTACTATTTGGACGGGATACAGAGATGGGAGCATCGCTGGGAAAAGTGTGTAGAGTTACAAGGGGACTATGTTGAAAAATAAAAACAAATATTCAGAAAAAATGTCTTGTATCTTTGTTAGGTTGGAAACTTTTCAGACCACCCTCGTATGCATATGCGGCAAACTATTCTTTTGTTCTTTGCCTTTTTTTCAATAACACGTACATAAATATTTCAAGCCCCGTACAGTAAAGGCGACACCACTAAAAAAGGTCAGATAGAGGGATCGCTATAAAATACAAGACATGAATAAATTCAACAAATCGTCTTTTTTGTCGAGTTTGAAGTACATACATTAAGATTCTTTACTTCAAAGGAATAAAATGTATAGAACAGCTGCTATATGTGAAGTCTTAGACTTGCGAAGCCTTGCATTTTATAATGGAAGAGTGTATTTATTAACATTTCCTTTGATATTACTATTACTACTCAAAATAATAAAAACAATCACATTATTACTATAAATTAAATATAAATCGAAATGGGAATAATTACTTAATATCATATAAATATGCCTAATACAATGCGTATAAAAAGCATGGCATATTGTTATTTAGTTATTTAAGAGTTTTAAATAAGTGCAAATATTTATTAGGGTATAGTTCGGCCCCAGGAACACGTCTATGAGTTTTTTTCGCAAAAAGATGCTGAAAATCGTGCATTTTCATTTAAACCTTCCTGTATAGTTTAGAAAACTTTTCAGAACTGTTTGTTTACCGCAATTTTTTCCACAATATGATTTTTTAATCCCTGATAATACCATGGTTACGCCACTAAAAGGGATGCAATATTGCCACTTCCTACATCTGTATTTTCTAATTATTCAAACGAGTCAAGTAAAAAATTGCTGAAAAGGGGTGAACAATTCAGAAAAGGTTTGAACAGAATACCTTTTATTATAAAGTGCAGAAATACTAGTTGCTCCATTATGATTAATTTATATATTTCACTATTTTTACATAATTATTAATTCTAGAAAAAAAAACACCTCTTCAACCGTTTTTAAGTTTAAGTAGAAAAAACGAGAGAACTAAATCTTCTACAATTACACCTTATGGCTTTGGTACTAGCATGCATTATTACATTTCTAATTAATACCTTTAATAACGACTTGCACGGTAAGAATATAATAAATAATAACTTAAGAGCATAATATCCTATTTAAATATCAGAGGTAAGCTTTTTCTATAACAGTGCCACTAGCAAAGGCCATTAAACAAAAGACGCGCCTTTGCAATATACAGGGTGGTCTGAACTATTCCGGTAACTTCGGTAGCATATTCTGCAGATAAAAATAAGTAAAAAAATTCGTATAAATGTATGTCCTAAAATGCTTAGTTTCAGATATACAGGGTCTAGAATTTTCATTTTTATTTCGATTTTTTCTAAATAATTTCTGAAGTAACGTCAATATTTGGATGAAAATTGTTGTCTGGGTGTTTTTTGACATGAGAATTTTTTACTTGAAGTGACATGAGCATTTTTTACTCTCGTATTTTTACTTGAAGCTGATCCAGATTATTAACCCTATTATGACCATACAGTTTGGATTTTACATAACCCCACAAAAAGAAATCATTGGGAGAAAGATCTGGTGATCTGGTGAACACATCAGGCTTTTTGTGTTTTTGTGGGGACACGCACCCATGTGTTTCAAAATTATTAATAACTCTTGATATATTAGGTAAAGATGGAATTGGCCTGTTTACAAAAGTTTGTGGAAAAATTGTTGGTATATCCCGATAAGACCTATTTTGGAAATATCATTTTACAATTTGAATTTTCTCACGAACTTCGTAAACATCAATTATTTTACTTAAAAATAAATTTTACACGAGAACTGTCGCGAGAATCTATGTATTCGTTTTGGCTATTAAAACACGAATAAATACAAATTCTGAAACATTCTTATCGCATATCTACCTATTTTTATTTTATCGCATTTTTTCGCCTGTTTTTTATCCGGCGAACGGGTATACGCTAATTCGTCCGGTTCTGCCTATGTTACTACTACGGTGGTCCGGTCTGTATATTTTTAGGACTTGAGTTAAAAAAATTATCACAAAATATAAATTTTATTTACTTATACAACCTCCATTTAACTCCAAACACTAAACTAAACGTCCAGGTACACTCGAAACTAGGTCCACACCATAATGTTCAGTAGTCCAGGCCTGTAAAACTGAGCGAATCAAGTCTTGTTATCGTTCGACTTCAATCTTCATTAGTCCCCATTTGTTTTCAATGGGACTAAGGTCCGGTGGAGCTGCTGGCTATGGAATTGTTGCCAAATGGTGTTCTTGCATCCAAGCTTGAGTATAGGCAGACGTATGGCATCTTGCATTATCCTGCTGAAAACGCCAACCCTCTGGATATAAAACATGAGCCGTTTCAAGAAGAAAACCATTTAAATATCATAATATGTTGCACTATTAACAGTTACATCAACTATACACAGAGGTGTAGCACCACGCTGAGATATTGCTCCCCAAACCATTATTTTAATGGGAAATTTTGAAACTTGAACGGTAACATTTTCTTTTGATAGGATTTTTAGGTGGTTTCCACCAAGCTGGAAACAACTTTCGTCAGAAATAAAAACATTATTAAAATTATCTTCTTGAAAACGTTGACAAAAATCCATTCTTCGCTGCCTTTGTGGAGGTGTTATTGCAGTTTTTTTTGGCTTCTCTGATATGTAGCCTTGTCTTTTCAGTGATATGCGAACGGTTTCTGGACACACTTTTAATTTTCGCTGACTTCCAAATTTGTTAGCCAATTTGCGAAACCCTAGGCGCGGATTCTGTCGTCTTAATGCCACTAAAGCGTTTAAATTGTTTTCGCAAATCTTACGCGGTCTTCCTGAAACTGGTCCATGCTTCATATTTGTGCCATTTTTTATCCTCTTTATTGAGATCAGTCAATTGCACTAATTTTTTAACGTTTCGAGCACCTTTTCTATACAAAGATTCCACCATTTCTTTTTTTTTACTTGCGACATTATTTTTCAAATCTTAAGCCGGTTTACAATTAACAATATTTGACAGATGGTGTCGCCATGCGATTTTGGTCATAGCCTACTATCGGCACAATATACGTGATGGATTACTGTTGTCTTAGGGGGTAAAAAAAAATAGATTAAAATTAGGAAAAATATAAAATTCCGGATATTTTCTAGACGGACTATACTTTAGGTCGCGTGTAATATGACAATGAAGACAATGGCTTAAGTCGTATCTTGGCAACAGAAAGCAGCTTGTGAGGATTGATACGTTTATGTCTTCTTGTAAGCCTATAGAATGCGGTGTCCCTCAGGGTTCAGTACTTTGCCCTATTTTATTTCTGGTGTTTATCAACGACATTGCAAGTCTAGACATTAGCGGTAAAATCTGCCTCTTTGCGGACGACACTAGTTTCACTTGGAGCGGCCAAGATGTTACGGCACTGTATAGTACTATATCCAGTGATTTACGCACCATTAAATCTTGGTGCGATTCTAATCTCCTATGCCTCAACCTTTCAAAAACTAAAGTTTTGTCATATAAAAGTACTACACAACCCTTTGTTCTTAATAACACCACTATTGACGTCGTGGACTCTGTGAGATTCTTAGGACTTGTTGTAGACAACTCGTTAAAATGGGACTTGTACATCGAAGCCTTATCAAAGAAACTAAGCTCTGCCTGTTTTGCGCTAAGATCAGTTTCTAAGGAACTTAACTCATCAACCTCTAGAATGGAAATTATGCCCTTTTTGAGTCGCATCTTCGTTATGCCCTTCCATTCTGGGGTACTTGCTGCGCGACAAAATTTGATCGTATTTTCAAACTTCAAAAGAGAGCAGTTCGATACTTATTGGGACTAAACAGTAGAACTCACTGCCAGAATTTCTTTAAAAATTTCAAAATACTGACTCTTCCTTCCTTATCCATTTTTGAATCCGTTTGCTTAATCCGCAAGCACATATTCTCTATTCCGGAGAGGCCTTCTCACAACTATCCACAATGCGGAGCACGATATTTATCTGCCAACCCCAAGCTCTCTTACTGGAGAGAGCCCTATATGCGGGGTAAACGACTTTTTTGTTGATGTTTAATCATGAACAATTTTGAATTTTACAATTTTGATCATCTCACACACTGGTTAAAGGTCTAGTATTTAATATTTTATAACTCTTGATTTTATATTATATAACATTAGTTTATCCATTTACAGTTTTCCTTTTGTAAAATTTTCTAGATACGCCTGTGTTCTACAATGTCCATATATGTTCTATTTGTAATTTTATGACGTAAATTTTTTTTTAATTGATTTGTATTGTATGACATTTTTATTTGTTTATTTGTATATTTGTTTTTGTGCTTTTTTGTTTTGCTTTGTCGATGAAGCTGTTTTGGCTTTTTGTACAATAAAGCGTTTGTTTGTTTGTTTTTGTTAATAAATACCATTTAGTTGAAACTTTTAAATTTTTAGTCAAAAAAATATAATATCGTAAAAACGTGGCAACATTAAAATTAGAGGAACAAATACAAATTACAGAAACAATCCGGTGGCTCTCAAAATTAAAAAAAAACATTTTTTTACATTTTAGAACTTAAATAACTCGGTTATTTTGGCCTTTTTAGAAAAACGATAAAGAGAAAAATTTTTTCTTTTGTCGATATCTACCAGCTCCGAAAATATTTGCACTTATTTAAGACACACGCTGTATAGCTTAAAATAAATATAAAATCTTAAACATTCTGTAAATTAATAAAGAAGGTAGTTCGTGCACTTACTCTGAAATATAAACTACTGTGTCAATAAGAACTCAAGTGGCCTT